AGGCTGGTTCTTCTCTTTCTTCTTCTTCTTTTTTCTTTGTAGGAGCGCAAACTGGTCGAAAGTTAATACTTTTTGAGACCTTTCCTGCCGTCCGTGAGCACAATTAGTATCAGTTTGTAGTCTAGGCAGCCCTTCATAGTTAACACCCACTTTGAACGGTCTATACCTTCAGCAGGGAAAACTGTGACGTTTCTTGTTTAAGGGTGGCGTTTAGCCCCGATCTACCCTACAACGCATGAATTTTGTGCCGTCACAATGAGGCCGAGACCGCAGCACAGGCAAAACGGTCAGCACTAGATCATATACGGCAGCGGGACGGAAGTGAGTAATCCAACATNGGGGGGGGGGGGGGGGGGGGCAGGCCCCCCTGACCCCCCTACCCCCCCCCCCCCCTTCAGTTCCTGAAAAATAAACCACACCAATACTCCCCTCTTGATATTAGAATTTTGACTATCTTATCATAGTTCTAGACCGTAACAAACGGCATCGTTCGCCCTCTAAAATACCAAAATTTTTCGGTACCCTTTCAGCGGGCCCCGAACCCCACGTCAAAGGGGATGGAGGAGGGGGCGAGGGTCGGCTTCGCATCTGAGGCCTGTCATCCGTAAAGTAAACTGTTACCATTCGTGCATGACAACTGGTTATTCACTGGTACATGGAAGTATTGGCTAGTGCGACCGCCCATCACACAATCCCAGCAGTCGAGTTAAAACTGGCGGCGAATGAGCATGTGTTCGAACCAGACTTTTTTTCCTCCCATTCCTAATCTGGCAACGTTGATCAACTTTGTTCAGGTTTAGATAAGGTGAGCTGAAAACTTGGTTTTTTAATTTCTATTTCAGACATTATTTGAAGGTGGGGTTCCACGTATGCGAACCCCCCACCCCCCACCCCGTTAAACGCCTATTTCTTTTATAGGGCCTGGAAGTCCTAAACTACAATTTAATGAAACTACTACCATAAATGATAGAGTTAACTGAAATTACAGACAGCTTGCTTGTGTACATAAGGGTTATCAAGGTTACAGTAAAGGGAGGGGCGGGATACGACACATAGTGAACCAATATCTATGGTTCCTCGCTGCACATTATGTTGTTGGTGTGCGTCGTCTTTACAAACGGAAAGAGAAAATGTGAACATTCACCTACACGTAGGTGCAGTGCAGTGTACAGTACTTCGGGGCTGGGAGTTCAGTCGCCTTGGAGAAATAATAAAACTGGTCTAGCTGAGCCCCACATTACACATGCATATTATGTTCAGGTGAGGGAAATCTGCTTGAAATCCATCATACAGTTTTCAGTCTAAAAAAGCTGCTGCTACGTCATCAGCTCGAGTAAGCAAAGCATCCGCGGCGGACCCCCCCCCCCCCCCTTCAAATAATCCTGGATCCTGGATCTATATATCGGGCAATACCGGTAGACCTACCATCCCAGAAAATTTAAATAAAAAGGGAGTGTAAAAAATAACTTCTTTTCCTTTTAAATAATGAACACTGGGATTCTTTTAAATAATGACCAATTCAAATCCTTTTCAACCAAAATATTATCAATTTGTATTTGAACTAAAAATCAAAAGATCTAGGCAGAAACAGCTTGAACGTAGCGCTGAACTGGGATGCGCTTGATGTGCCCCGATTCTCCTCCGATATAGTGTGTTAGTTGTGACAGATATGTTGATTGCGTTTTCACTGCGGGTCTTTTTTTTCATCAACAGACTTGTTCTTTCTACCCTAGGTTCTAGATTCCGGTATTGTCAGCTCGATCTTGATTTCATATATAACCCATATCAACAATACAATACCAATACTAAAAGCGACTCCATCACAAGGTATATATTTAACAAGCTAGCTTTTACGTTGCTCTGACACTCAGGGTAGTTCTTTCGGATCGGAATACTATTTTCAAGCATTTCGCACGTTATGGAATATATCTATATTAACAACGTAACAAAATGTCATCTTTTCCCATTCAATCGCCACCTCGCCTTACATATGCAAAGTTTCAGTGAAGATTTTTTGGGATTGGAAAGCGCGGAATACATGTAATTTTGCAAGTTAACACAATCGAAGAGGAGTGCAATTTAGTTTATTGGGTAAGTATTAAGACTATTTTCTGGTTTGTGATAACGAACAAATGTTATCTACATTCGTGTCTTTCATTCTGTTTCTACAAAATCATAGATCTATTCTTGGACCTATCTCTATTTAGGTCCAAGATCTATTCAACACAAAACGGTGTTCATTCATCTAAGTTTTCCTGAAATCAAAGTCGTCGGGGAGACATTCATATGGGCTTGTTGTATACATGTCGACTCTCCCGGATAATCTGGGAGTCTCCCGGATACAGAACGAATCTACCCGTCACCCGTAGGCCTACATGTAACCAAATCTCCCGGATAAGAGCGACTTTGAAAATTTGCACCACTGTCAGCTAACGCCCTGTCGATTTATCTTCAGAATAGTTGGGTTATCTTTTGAAAATTTCATAATTCTCTTCTAATTGTTTGAGATAGGGGTCACCACCGCCCACTGAGCACCTGAGCACAACGGTACCCCCCCCCCTTATTGAGCAAAATTTTAGAATCTCCAGATTTTAGATGTTACTGGACACCTGGCGGGATCAGGTATACAATATATATATATGTGAGTGGAAAAGTAGGAGATCACATGCCTAGAAAACTTAAATCATATCGTTTTTTTAAAATGTGTTTCCATAGTAATATGATGGTCCAGGGGAAGGCCTCCGACCATATGCTGGGGATCTGATATGTCTCCACTCAACAAACTCACGACTTCAGTTATAATACGGGTTTATTTCTGTTAGCATAAGTGTACATAGGAGCCTTAGCCTTACAATATAGATGACAACCTTCCTGCTCCAGTGCTAACCCTGTACTGACTTCTTCACAACATTGCTAATTTTTAAATCCCGTGGGAGGGGGGATGACAGACTGAGGACATTCCTGGTTACTATTGGTCAGGTAACCTGTCACTCAGCAGCATCAACTTAATTTAATAGATAATTCGACAATTTACATAATACAGAGACACAGGCAGGATGTATAACATAGAACATAGACGAAGGCGGCTATATAGTAATTTTCCGTCTCCATTAAACAAAGGTGAGGTAGATATACAAAGATTTACATAATCTCAATTAAACACAGGTATGGTAGGACATAGTAATTATTTTCTAAAACTGGTTTCATCCACAACAATAAAGAAAGTTTCACTGGGCTATTTAGATAACTCCTGGTTTCCTTATATCAGATAAGTCACAAGATATGCTGTCCATTGTCAAGGACAGCATACCTTCAGGTTAATTAAAGATATATACAGGAAGGAAGATTCAGCTGTAATCAAATGGCCCACTGGCTGCAGTGCTTCTTTTTTTTTTTTTAATATAAATGTCAAATAATCAGGAAATAAATCGTGCTAAATAACTGTGATAGTAACAAAACTTAGATGGATACCCATCTGTTGCAGCATGATTGTCAAATATGGCCTTATGGGCTATTTTAAAAATTTTTGAATGAAATTTTAGAAATTTTATTAAAATTTCTAGAAAGTGAAACTTATAACACTGTTTTATCTCTCCACAAGGTTGTTCATAACTGCAAAAAAAAAAAAAA